TACGTGTCTTCGACACATCTGCGTGTATTCTAACTTTTTAGAGAAAATTCGTAAGGAATTTTTCTCTGAAATATAAAATGGAAAAATGTGAAAGAATATGTCTAACGTTGGAATAGCCTAGACAGGCTATGTTTAGAACGTTCTATTGAGCTGTAATAGGTTTAATGCAAGAGTTACAGAGTTTTATCTACGAACCTCGACATAATTGAGGTCAGGTTCATTCGTTTGTATAACAACTTCATACAATGAATTAATGCAGAAATAAAATAAGATTTTATATCTAATATACGTTGGACGAAAACACCCCTGCATTCAACCTATAAACAGAGAGTTCATTTTCACTCTCAACTCATCCTATTCACTCTCAAAAGCTCTCACAACAACTAAGAGATTTCTGACGATCTAAGGAGCAATACCACCGACAGTCCACTCCAGTTCTAGGTGTACGAAATTTGGAGCAACCATGTTAACATCGGGGGGCGATCTCCCTATTGGAATGATTACACACATCGGGATAAATTTATTTCTAAGACAATGATTCCACCACGACACAGTTAAAGATTTCAAAATTTTCCTTTAATTTAGTATTTTCAGCCAATATTAACGGTGTGATTTTGCATCTATATTTCCAACAAGTTTGAGTCTTGGACGCAAAAAAAGAATATTAATGTGAAAAAGAGATCGCAGTAGCAGTTGCAAATCCGAAGTTAATGAGCATCTAGTTTATTTCAACCCATTTTTTCTGGGTTATCGTGGTGGGGGTGGCCAACCCAAGAAGGCAATAAATAAATTAGTGGTGGTGACATAATAACCAAAAAGAAAAGAAAATGGGTTCCCTTTTTGTTCCAATTTTGATATCTTGAAATGGTTCATCATCGTCATCAAGAAAAAGAAAAAGGGGTGGGTTAATGTGAGCCATGCACTATGTCAGGAGGATTTCACATTTTTTCTGCATTGGAACCCGACACACGCAACTCATCTGTGGACTCCATGCCGCATGACTTATTCTCGTACAGCTTTGACCGCATATACGTGGATCAACACTCTCTTCCAATGATCCCATTACCCTTGTGAAGTTTATACTAGATAATGAATCTTTAAGAGGAAGAATTTATAAAATTATAAAAGATAAAATTATATTACTGAAAAGAATATAAAATACTATCCTTATCCCTTCGGTTCCATTACAGCAAAGCAGGATCTGCCTTTTTCTAAATTTAACTTATTCTAGGTTTCCAAGAAAGTCACTTCCCAGTTCCCACCATAGCCAACACAACAGCATTTGACCCCACGGTCATGAGTAAGAGTGGGTTGTTATTTTCCTCCTTTTTGACGTTTCGAAAATCAAACCATAAACGAATCCCACTTACGCACAATAAATTCATGCGTATCCCTATCTCCTATGTCTTCAGCTTTTAGCGATTGAACCGTAAGACCAAACCAAGTTTTGTGTTACCAAAAAGCACTCCTGACCTCACCTCCAGTCCAGATCATAAAGAAACAAGAGCTTTTCCTCGGAAACACACTAGTCGGTGCCGTTTTGGCTACATCGAGTTCGAAGAAGAGCTCTTTATAACCTCGGTCTATAACACTGATGGTTGATGTCATTAAAGGAATGGTGTTGAATTTCAATGAAACTATATGACGTAGAAAGATGGGTTAAAAAATAGAGAATATATTCAAAGAAACTAGTTTGATGAGTCAAGCTAGTGATCAATTATAGAATGGCATGAATATGTGTAAAGATAATTCAACGAAAACGGGGGCTTATTCTACTGCTAAATGAGTTGTTGGCGGAATCCATTCATTTCACGGGACCCAACCTATTCCACCGCCCAATGTGGGGAGCGACCGCCGAGCAATGGGAGCTCCGCACTTGCCCCCTTCCCACGTTAATGCCTTCAATTGCAACCTTTCATTTCTCCCACTGTCGGCTCAATATATTTTTTTAAGAGCATAAAGTAATTATACGAAATAATATTTGATTAGAGCCTTTTAGTCATTAACAATGATACTTACGTATATACATAATTATTTAAACTCAAGACCTCTAAAGCAAATAGTATTCTTTTTACTCTTGATGTAGGTCGATAGGTACGAGCCAATAAAAACTCATTAATTTATATTAGGAATAATAATGACGTTATGTTTTGCTTTAAAATCCACGGGCTGTTGGATCCAACAGGCAAAGCCGAACACTTTTCCCTTCAAAAATTGGGTGTGGTAGGTTTAAATTGAGTGAAACTGGGCTTTTAGTATTTGAAGCTGCTTTGTAGATGACCCAAATTTGTTCCCCACTGTTCAACGGCAAGTATAGCAGATTCTCCTAGTGTGCATGGTAAAACAATAAAACCTTACTCTCTTTAACCAAAAATAAAATTGTTGGCCATATAATACATAAATGGATGTATAATATACAAGTTATTGAGTGAGTTATCAAGCAAATTTGTTAAGTTCATGTTGAAGAGACAACACAAACATATTTTACCTTGTTAATATTTTTGTGACAAAAAGTTTAGGTTAAGGATGACTTTTCTAATCCAGGGCCATGGCATACCTAAGATTCAATTAGGATTTACATATTTAGAATTTGAACTTGGTCTTACAAACTCAAATATGATTTTATTAAGCCAAACGGAACTACTTTTTAGATAATAGTTTCTATCACGACATACTAAATCGTTCTACTTTTTATTTTATTTTATTACTACTTATTAATTAATATTAACAATATTGTTTTGAAATAATATTATTTATTAAAAAAAACCAACCACATTTCAAGTGCATTTGTTGGACATCCATCATGATTCAACTGCATATTCCTCAGAACATTAATATACATCTTGCAACATTCGTATTAAACCATATACATTAAATTCTTCTAGTTGACGTAATCCCCTTAAGTCCATAAATATCTATAAAAAAATTAATGAGTTAATTTGTGCGAATACAAATATTGCCTTCTTTATTCACATAGAAAGAGCTAGAATTAAATATTGGCAGGAGATAAAATATTAGATTGTTTAAAAAAATAAAGACTTGTTAGATATTTAAAATCGAAATTCAGTATGAACCAAACGACTTTAGTAATTAAGGGATTGTTGTTATCCTTGAGGTCCCGAGTTCAAGCACTTATATAGGATTATGAGTGTTCATTGTCAAATAGTTAAAAGTCTTTACACATATATTACCTTGTATTCACCCTAAATTAAAAAAATTCAAAACTCAAAAGTAAACTTCTAATATGTTTAATATTTAAACTTACAATTACTTAAATTGTAATTAGACCAAAATTTTGAGAACACAGACTTATCATTCTTTAGTTCGACCCCTACTTGATTAAATATTTAATATTTTTAATATTTTTAAAAATTTTAAAATTTAAATATTTATTTTTGCATGAACCAAAATACTATTAAACCAAAATTATATCGAATATATAAATTTTAACAGAGGCTGGACCCCTTGGGCCCTAAGGGAGCTCCGTCCCTATTTTTTCATATGGTAGAGTCCTAGTTTTCTCTGCTTTTTTCTTTGCCCCATTTCTACGTTTTTCTTCTTTGTTAGCCGACCGCGATATTAATTTTGGTGTTGGTTGTCAACTATTGATATTTTTTAATTTTTCATATTATATCTTTATTTTTTTGGTTTCTAATAATTTTACCTTTATGACATATTTGTCTTTGTCTTTATGACACACTTTCCTCTTCATTTTGGCACTTTTTGAGTTGTTTGGCCGGTGTTTTAGTTTATTTTTTAGGGTTAGATTTGACATCGCCACAACTTAACAAGATGATGCTTATCTATTATCATATTGATCTTCTCTGTTTTAGACCCTCATATTGGATTAGGATACGCTATTTGCATTCGCAGATATTTTTATCACGTCACTCAACTCTGATTTACAATTGTCAGTGTTCTTTCAGTAATTTGATCCCTGTTGTAGTTCATTGGCCGATGCAATTATATCTATTTATATCTATCTTTCGTTCGCTATTTTGATTAGGTTTTAACCTTTCCCTTGTATGGTCTTTATATAATATTAAGTGGTTAATTTTATGTCAATGATTATAGAAAAATATACCGATTAAATGTTTACTCTAATGTTATAATTGTAATATTGCATTGTAATTTTAAGGCTTAATATAAAAACAAGGGCTTAAAGAATGCATCGAAAAATATTTTAATTAAAAATATGTGCTTAAAGTTTTCTTCATTACATTTTTAAGTTCCTACCGTTAAAAAAAATCTTTAAGTTACACGTGTCATATTTATATATTTTTTAAAAATAAAATATTATTTAAAAATAATTTTTTAAAAAATCCAAATGATTTTTTAACTGTAAACATTTAAAAGTGTAATGGAAAAAATATTACACATCTATTTTTAGCGAAAAACTTTTAGATACTAAAAATTAATTTTGTGTATATTAATTTGGAGGTCTCCTACGGAAGTTGCTCTCAACCTAGTGTTGGGGGCAACCTACTATCTTACTTCCTCCTTACTCTATTACATATGGGAACAAGGTATTAATTTTAAATATCATTTTAATAAAATTAACGGCTTGTATTATTATTATGTGGGCTGGATTTAGATAAAAGGCCAAATTTATGGGACCCACTGCATCAAAAGTCTCCGAGCCCATCATTCGAAAAACACTACTGAAACCGAAAGCCATGGCTGAATGAATGGCTAGATGCTCTGCCATGGTTGGTTCACGGTTTGCGGTGGGACCTCAACCCGAGCCTTAAGCTCGTGGCCTTACCCTCTTTTTCCCGCGAGTCAAGACAAAACAACAGCTGAAGTGGACCCCAATGTCGCGCTTACACACAGCTGTCCGAAGTCGGTGTCTGTTACTCATCTGCATACACTCGCATCCAAGTGAAAAATATCTCACACACGTGTCCAAAAAAAGAAACAACTCCTCTCTGTAAATTAGAAAAGAAAAAAAAAGTTAAAAATCTAAAAGGCTTTGTATAAAGAGGTGGAATTCCTTACGTTTGCTCGTCTGCATCATTATCACTCTTTTACACAGCGAAAACCCCCTTAATTTTCGAAAGGATATTCTGGTTGGAGCGTCCTTTATCTTTGTATATACTCTACTGTTTTCACTGTTCCTTCTTCGTTTCATTATCATAGCTGAGAAGGAGAAGAAGAAGAAGAAAGGTCCTTTAAGTGAGAGAAAACAGAACGATGGGAGTTCTGGATCATGTTTCTGATCTGTTTGACTGTTCTCATGGCAGTCCCAAAAAGAGACGTAAGCAGTTGCAGGTATATCTCTTTCTATATAAGCTGTAGATAATTAAAAAAAAAAACTGTTTTTTATTACTAGATCGAGAGATTTATTGTTTTTGTTGTTCTTTCTCTTTTCTATTACTTTGTTTCTTATGTGATTGGATCTGCCCCATCAGTATGGTGAGATTTTATGTTTGATGGGTCTTTCTTTGTTTGATCTAAGCTATTAGGCTGAATCTGAGAAATCTGAGTTTTTAGCTTGATTGTTCTAAAAATGATCGAAAGAGGCTTAACTCCATTGAATTAGCAAGCCAAATCTTTAGATTTTACTAAGGTGTAGATGAAAAAGGTTTAAACTTTTGTTAATCAAATGGTTATTTTTCGAAGGATGTTAAATTGAATATTGCATTAACGATTATTGGTTTATTTTAATGGCGATTGGCTCATAATTATTTATTGCTTCAGTTAGTCAAGTTTACTTTATTATTTTAATCAGAAAACTTCAAAACGGACCTAAATTATAATAAAGGGACTAAAATTATAATTTAACCGAAGCCCCTGTAGAGTAAAACTGTCGGAAAGGTTGATCTGGCGTATTCAGTTAAAATATCTCGCGTCAAACGACAAAACACCGTTTTGACGTCTCTAAAAATTTTAAAAATTTAATTTTTTTAAAAAAATAATAGGTATACCAAAATTTTAATTTCTTTTCCGTAACACATCAAGTTAATTTTATTATTTTTTAAAATAATATGACTTGTGACGGAACTGGTTGTGGGTGGTCTTTATTGTCATATTCCGACAAGTGGTACTTTCTGTCAGTGTCAGTAGATAAATGATCAACTGTAAAAAAAAAAGTTACTCTTTTCAGACGGTGGAGATCAAGGTGAAAATGGACTGCGAAGGATGCGAGCGCAAAGTGAAGAAATCAGTGGAAGGGATGAAAGGGGTGACGCAGGTGCACGTGGACCGCAAGGCCAGCAAGCTGACGGTGGTCGGATACGTGAACCCGGCGAAGGTCGTCGCAAGAGTGGCGCACCGGACGGGGAAGAAGGTGGAGCTGTGGCCGTACGTGCCGTACGACGTGGTGGCTCACCCTTACGCCCAAGGGGTTTACGACAGGAAGGCGCCGGCGGGGTACGTGCGCAACGCCCAGGACTCGCAGGGGACGTATCTCGCACGTGCTAGCTCCACCGAAGTTAGATACACCACAGCTTTTAGCGACGAAAACGCCAATGCTTGTACTGTTATGTGACTGATTTGATTGTGCGGCAGTAGGTATTTGAATTTTGAGTTAGTTTGAGTATTTGGTTGTACAATATTTGTTATGTTGGATCTGATCTATATGTTTATTGGCGTATTTGGGATTGTGTACCATAATGCTTTTTAGTGGACAAGACTTGGTAGTAAAAAAGTAATTTTGTCCCAAGCTTTAACCTTGGAAACGTGTAGTAAATTTTATCTACTGTCGGCTTACAATAAATATATATGTTTTGGTACGGTTAGCTAATGCTTGATATGATCATAGCCATAGGTATGTATGTGTTCGCAGATGTAATTGAATGAAATTGTTTGTGATAATATGATCATTGGTATATTTACGGTATTGATGAGTATATTAATTAGATATTCATATGATGTATTGTGAATGTTATGTGTGATGCATGTCGATTTAGATTAATCAAGATGAAATTTTATAATCGGGAAAGCAACCAAAAAAGAAAAAAAAGATTTATTACGTATGTTTGATAAATTAAATTTTTGTATGTGATTTGTTAGGCGAATAAAGTGCACGTTTGTGTGCTTGTGACGGATGCACGATGTCTTTATAAGGGTTAAGTACATCTTTATTATTTTAAAAAATAATTAAATTTAGTTTAATGCCCTATGGAAAAGAGAAAAAAATAAATTTTTTTGTAAACTTATTATTTTTAAGAAAAAAATAAAATTTTGAATATGTATTATTAAATTTTTAGATCCGTCAATGATTTTTTTATGTGTATTTCAATTGATTCTTGTCTAATGATGTTAGAAATATTGAAAGGACATATGGAATAAAGATTAACTTTTGTATAGATTATATTAGTACTCAGTGTCAACCTTGTCTACATGTAACATGTAATTTTGATAGTAAAAGAATTGTTATTTTTATTTTAAGTTATCTTTAAAAAAGATATTATTTTTATATTTATCTAATTATAATTTAAAAAAGGTAAACTATACAAATAGTCTATTGACTATAGGATGATAATTTATCAAGTCTTTAAACTATTAAAAGTTACAAAACGACCACTTAACTATTTCATATGTTCTAAACTTATCTTTTTTCGTTAAAAAATTGATAACAATATGAGTTGGACATTAACATGTTGACTATGATACGATAATCGTTTGAGATTCTAGGATCATATTTTGTCACATCTTAGTCAACATATTAACGTTCAACTCAAATTGTCATTGTTTTTTTTAATGAAAATGGACAAATTTAGAACATATGAATAGTCGAGTGATCTTTTTTAACTTTTAATAGTCGATGGACTTAATAAAACAATATCCTATAATCAAATAATCATTTTGTAACTTTTAATAATCGAATGATTCAATAAAGTATCATCCTATAATCAAAAAACTGTTTGTATACTTTACCCAAAAAAATATTGATCGTAAAAGGAGGAATATTGATTCTCATCCCTTTAAAACATGAAAAATGACATCTTATATCCCTTTTTATGAATTTAATGAATGATGGCTTGTATGAGTATTACAATTTAGTTGTTTTATAACTTTATATTTTTAGAATTTGCATTAAGGTAAAGATTGTGACTCGAATTTCATTTGACTCGCCCCAAAAAATATATATATATATATATATGATGCAATTAGCTTATATTAAGGTGTTCAAAAGTATCCGACCCGAATTAAGAAATACAAAGTATTTATAATAAAAATACCGGATTTTCTTGGTCGGTACCTAACCCGCTATTTTTTTTGAGTTTTCAGGTCAGGCCCGGTTCACAAAATATTGCTTAACCGGATACTCGCCGATCGACTATCCAGATTATTATATAATTTTTCTATTTTTATTTTATATTAAATTTTTTATTCATAATTTTCAAATTAATTCACTAGCATTCTAAATTTCTAATTTCTTAAATTTTACCATCATAACATTCTAAGTTCTTAATTTCTTAAATTATTTTGCATTAACATTCTAAATCATTTTTTTAAAAAAATATTTGTTTTAACTTCAAAACATTTGAAATTTAATTATTTTCTTTATTTTAATTTTTAATAAATTTTCTTTTAATATTGTAATCTAAATTTTTAACTTTATGTATGGATTATATATATTATAGACCTTTAAATTTTAAATTTTAAATTTTAAAATTTATATATATATATATTTTAAAAATAATATAATTTAAAGAATAAAAAAATATGAATCGGATACCCGTGACCCGAAAATATGAGTACCCGGATGTTATGAGCCAGGACGCGGGCTGACTTTTTCGTACTAGAAAATTGGAAATACCCGATATCTCGAATACCCGGTTTTAAACACCCCTAGCTTGTACACGTGTGTGCTTTTTGCATCTCCCATATTATTTATCTCCTATGATAGTAAATATCTTCTACTTTATTCATAATTTTTCTCGTAAAAAATCTTCTATATAAATATGTTTTATTTATGATTGATTACTTATGTTTGAAGAAAAAATGGTGGTAAAGAAAAGGGTGATGTTTCCATAAACGCCCATGCAAACCAAAATCATCCATCGCTTTCAACTTCCAAGTGTTAATTCTAAAACGCAGAAAAAATAAATATGAAAATCAACACAACCACTTGTAAATTTGTAAGAAAGCATAACATGATTGACTGATGAATATCATACATCGGATCGTTGCATTGCACATTGCTGGGATTCATTACATAAGCACCACAAGGCACATTCATCATGTTAACATCGGTTGCTGGTTTCTGATGAGGAAACTATCCCATCTCCCCTTCGATTCTTCCTCGAATATCTACAAGCAAACACTTTAGCCTCCAATGCAGCCTGACCTTGTAATCTCTTCAGCAGCAGCAGGTTCTCTGCCCTCAATCTCAACCTCATCCTCAAAAGAGGCGTCTTCTCCCTACACTTCCTAGAGTCGGCAGTATCATCAACAGCAGCCTTATCTTCACCGAGGCCGGCACGGTTTTAGTATGAAAATGAAAACAGGTGTGTATGAGAGTTATCAGGGCCGGGTGGATTGCAAGTGTGTGTATGGATACAAGCATGGGAATCATTGAGTAATTCATAAAGAAACTGTCCATCGAACAACGGCAGTTTCTTTATTCCTTACTTTTTGTATTCTCGGATATATTTGTTTTCACTATAATTGGTTTTTCAAAAAACTTTATGTACACCCTTTGACAATCATATTATTATTTTCACAAGAATCAACATTCTCCAGAGTACACCTCAACAAGGGGTGCTGCTTTTTTCTCTTTTCTTTCATTCTTGACCGCACATTAATCCCAGAACTGGGATCGAGGCAAACATCGTGTTTAAAAAACTTCAAGATGCCAACCAAAAGAAGAAGAAGAAGAAACAAAAGAATCTAATTGAAGCTTGATGATCGGCTCCTTCTTTCTTTTAAATATTCTTCGGTCGAGAAGCTACTGCTTTGCTCCATGCTACGAAATGATGTAGAATCATCATCAACATCAAGCATTGTAACACTTGAATGTAACTCCGGCCTCAAGCTCGGATAAATTTCATCGTCGTTATGATGTTCTTGGCTTTCTGTGTTCTCTTCGTCCGTCTCTCCCCATTTTTCAACTGCCTTTTCCCATTTTAAGAGCTCAAGTATCTGCACAAGTTGAAGGATCAATGCAAAAATGTAATTGTAATTTAACAGGATTGTTAATATATAGATTACCTGTCTCATCTTAGGAATAAGTCGAGCCGAACGTGTGATGCAAAGTGTTGCAGCTTGTCGTAGCCGTCTTTCGGTTGGGCCCCGGAATTGGGTTTCGACTTGAATAAATGGTTAGGAGTCGCCACCGATCATTTTAAAACGAATTTAGGTAGATCGGACACCATCTTACCTGATCTACGTTGTACCAAAAATATGTCGGGTTCGGGAGTCGGTTACGGCCAAGGAAGGATTAGCACTCTTGAACTGCCCTTTCGGTACCAATTAATTTACCGTTGTCTTTTTGCGAAAATTGAAAAATTTAAATTAAAAGATTCGAAGTACTTACCTTTGATCGGATGAAACGAAGATCCTTAAAGAGATAGATATGTTAAAAAATGAATAAAAGAATAATAATAAAATTAACTAAAATAATAAATCAAAGGAGGAAAAAATGAGAATGAAGAAAAAAAAATGAATAAAGAGGAAAAATATTAAATAAATAAAAACAAAAAAAAAACAAAAACAAAAAAAATAAAATAAATTTAAGGGAAATGAGAGAAAAAATACTAATAAAAAATGTTAAATAATAAAAAATAATAATTACAATTAAAATAAAATCAAATAAAAATTTATAGGGTTAAATCGAAACAAAACAAAATTAAGGGATTAAATTAAAATAAAAATGAAGGCTGCAAAAACGAAGAGTAAAGAGTTAGGAGGACCAAACAATAATTAAGCCTAAATTCGGAATAATGACTAAAATACAAACAAAATAAAATTAGAAATCCCAATCGAAGCTGTTGAAAATTATTCTAGTGACCAAAATACAAATGGTACAACTTACAGGGACCTAGAACACGGTTTACCCATGCGTTGACCCGAGAGATGCCCTAGACTCACCTAAACGGCGTCGTTTTGGGGGGGTTTATATACCCCTTATATGCGCTTTTGGCTATCACTCTCCCTTATTTCCCTAATCTGGTCGTTCTCTCCTCTTCCTCTTCTCTCCTTTCAGACGCAGACACCAACCATACACAAAAAACCTTACGACCTCTTACCCAGAAAATGTTACCTTTGATGGCCTTTCACTTTCCCGGTGGTTTCTTCGGCGTTTGGTCTTTGTGTTTCGTTGTTTTGCTTGTTCTCTTGGTTTTATCGTAGCGTTTGGTTGTTGGTGTTTTTGTGTGTGTGGGTTCGATGCTTTTGTAGTCTCTCGGTTTTGTTTACTGTATATGGTTGATGGTTGTGTTTCGGTGACGCTGGCTCCTTGTTTTACTGTGGGTTCTGTTTACTTTGTTGGTGATGTCCTCGGTCTTACTGTTGGTCGATTTTGTTGTGTTGATGGTGTTGTGATGTTCGTCGTGGGTATTGTGTTTCTCTTGGTTCGTTCTTGGTTTACTGTGGCTATGGCTTTCGATGTTCTGGCCAAGTTCTCGGGGGTTCTCTCCGTTGTATTTATAGGCCCCGATGGGGGTCCGTTTCCGACTGTTTTGGGGTCGATCCCGGATATTCCGGGGTCGTTCTCGGTGATCTCGGATGGTTCAGTCCGAGTAGTTCCGGTTTTGGTGTTGCACATCGTCGAAATACTCGGCCGGCCA